CGATCCCTCAGACTCTACTGAGTTTATCCGTGAGTTGTGAGACCTATGTAACCTAGTGCTCTGATACCAAGTTGTCACGATCCGGATTTTCCCACCCTCGGGAGTCGTGATGGCGCCTACTAATAGGAGCTAGGCAAGCCAAGCATCAATTACCTCTTTTAGCGAACATCAACAGTATTAACAATAATGAAGCGTTTAACAATAAAGCGGAAGTCTCAAATAAAATTTACTAAAAGAAACGCGGAAGTTTAACAATCCTCTACCCAAGATTGGTGTCACAATACTCACGAACGTCTAGAGAATACTAAATACAAGGTTTGAATGAAACGTAAAACTGTCTGCTACGGTGCAACGATAACAAACTGAATAAAATAGAAAGGACTCCGGGCCTGCGGACGTCAGCAAGGCTACCTCGAATGTCCCTGGACTGGAAACTCGCTCCCAGAACGCTACTGCTACTCAAATGCTGCTCCAACACCTGGATCTGTGCAAAAAGATGCACAGAGTGTAGTATCAGCACAACCGACCCCATGTGCTGGTAAGTGCCTGGCCTAACCCCGGCGAAGTAGTGACGATGCTAGACCGGACTACCAAACAAACCTGTGTAGTTCAAATATATATATACACGCAATAGAAGAGAATACAGAAATTTAACAAGTCAAGATGGAGGGGAGCATGCTGTAGGGGCTGTAGCAGTTTAGAATACAAGGTCGATAAATAAGGAATGAAACGGTGCAACTACAAAGTCAAGGAGAGTAATAAATCAGATATGGCACGGAATGTCCCTTCGTGCATTTACTAATCAAAACATGGCACGGAATGTCCCTTCGTGTATTAATAATCAAAACATGGCACGTAATGTTCCTTCGTGCATTAATAATCAAAACATGGCACGGAATGTTCCTTCGTGCATTAATAATCAAAACATGGCACGGAATGTTCCTTCGTGCAATAATAATCAAAACATGGAACGGAATGTTCCTTCGTGCATTAATAATCAAAACATGGCACGGAATGTTCCTTCGTGCAATAATAATCAAAACATGGCACGGAATGTTCCTTCGTGCATTAATAATCAAAACATAGCACGGAATGTTCCTTCGTGCATTAATAATCAAAACATAGCACGGAATGTTCCTTCGTGCATTAATATATTCTCAACACAAATCGTGCACGGCATCAACCTTCGTGCTTTATCACTCTTCCTCACCCAAGCAACAATCACAAACAATGGGGCAGGGGGATAGACAAACAGTAATAGAAGTCCCGGCAAGGGAAAACACAAGTAAACAGCTACATCCCGGCAAGGGAACAACAACAATAACTTTCACATCCCGACAAGGGAGAAAATCACTATACGAACACAGCCCGGCAAGGGGATAATCACATTTCTTTCTCTTTCTTTCATTTCTTACTCAACAATTACTTTAGCATTCGAGCCAACGCTCCAAAGAGTTCACAAGTCATAATTCTTTCTCATACCCTTCACATTATATAGAAATTCTCAATTACACAAGGAAGAGTCACAACAAAATCAAAATAAGCACAACTAAGGACTCACGGTCATGCTAGACACCAGTGTATAGATACTCGTCACCATGCCTATACACCGTACTCAACAATTAGCAATTAGCAAACAATACTCTAATCCTATTCCCTCAAGCCAAAGTTAGATCAAACACTTACCTCGAATGCTCCAAACTCAACTCAAGCCTCTAGTATAGCTTTACCCCTCGAATTCGGCTCCAACACAGTCAAATCTACGAAATAATGACTTTACAATATTAATAATAGCTAAACAAACTAAAGCCAATGCCTAAATATGAATTTCTAAGCTTTCTTCCCAAAAATTCCAAAATCGACCCCGGGCCCACATGGTCCAAACACGAGGCTCGGACCAAAACCCAATCACCCATAACCCCATGAGTCCAAATATATAATTTGTTTTAAGATTCGACCCCAAATTGAGGTTGAATCACCCAAAATTCTCAAAACCCTAACTCTACCCAAACCCCCTAATTTCTACTTTGATTTCATGATTTAGGCTTAGAAACTTGCTAATTAATGAAGAAAAAGTGAAGGAAATGAGTGGGGAACTACTTACCCAAGTGGTCTTGAAGAATGGGGGCTTCAATGGAATCCTAAAACTTGGGAGAGAAGAGAGCTCGTGAGTATTTTTGAGAAAAACCCGTAACTATTCTGTTTCTGGACTTAAATTATAACTGGGCGATTTTTACTCTATGAGTTCGCGACACTGGGGTCGCGTTCGCGATGAAGGGGAAGCTGGGTGCATCGCGTTCGCGATTAGGGAAATGCGAACGCGTAGAGTTAATTACTGGGGCCTGAAATTTGTTCTACGCGAATGCGTTGAAGTCACGCGAACGCGGTGAAGGAAAATGGAATGCTGTGCGTTCGCGAATGCTTAATGCGAACGCGAAGAGGAAGGTTTCCCCCAGGGTCAACTAGTGCTATGCGAACGCGAGGACTGTATCGCGATCGCGATGAAGGAAGTCACAAAGCAGCGCGAACGCGAGCCAAAGGCCGCGATCGCGAAGAGCAAAGGTCTGTGCAAAAATTGCAGCAAAAAAAATCTGATCCTTTTTCCTAAGTTTAAAACACCCCGAACCACCTCTGAATCACTCCCGAGCCCTCGGGGCTCCTAACCAATCACACACACTAACTCAATAACATCCTACGAACTTAACCGAGCGATCAAATCGCTAAAATAACATCATAAACGAGGAATCAAACCTCAAAATCATCACTTTTCATTCTAACTTCATAAACTTCAAATTTTAGATATTTAGGTCCGAAACACGTCAAATGAAGTCCGATTTCGACCAAACTTTACAGAAAGCGCTTAAACCATATATAAGACTTGTACCGGGCGTCGGAACCAAAATACGAGCCCGATACCACGGTCTTTTAATAAATTTTCATTTCCATTTTCCTTAATAATTTCAGAAAAACAATTTCACAGAAAAATTCTTTTCTCGGGCTCTAGACCTCGGATTTCGACTCCGGGCACATGCCCGAGTCCCATATTTTTCTACGGACCCTCCGGGACCGTCGAATCACGGGTCCGGATCCGTTTACCAAAAATGTTGACCGAAGTCAACTTTAAATCATTTTAAAGCCACATTTTGAATTTTTTCACAGAATTTAACATATAATCTTTCCGGCTACGCGTCTGGACTGCGCACGCAAATTGAGGCAAGTAAAAATGAGGTTTTCAAGATCTCGAAAGCACGGGATGAAAGAGAAAACAGGTGATGACCCTTTGGGTCGTCACAATTCAAGATCCAAATGGAGTGCTGCTACATGCTTCTTGATCATCAAATACGTCAAGAAGATGCATATCATCCTACGTTCGAGAAATACGCCACTAAGGCCCTCGAATTACGGATAACAATTGGGAGGGAAGAATCAAGGGATAAACAGAGTTGTAACCCGCAATGTTATCAATAAAATTCTTTTTTTATTTATAGTTATTTATGATAGCATTTTATTTTTATGCACAAATAATTTGTAGCAAACAAATTGGCACGTCCAGTGGGACCAATTCTGCCCTTCATCTCTTCCTCCTGCAAATCGAAAACTATTGCGACGATCTTTAGAAATAAAACAGATCCAAATAATGTTCACAATCTCAAGGGACAATTTGCTTGTTCTCTATCAAAGTAGTACTTCATCAATGCTGCAAAACTGCTAGAAGAACACGCCTCTTCTTTACTAGGAAAAAAATGAGTACAAAATCGATGTACAACAAGGAACAAAGTTTCTGCCATTTAACCAACAAGGGTTGTGGTGGAGTGGTAAGTACCCCTTCATCCTTAATCAGAGGTCTCGAGTTCAAGCCCCTGGGTATCGAGTCGCCTTTGTTAGGGAGCACTTTACCCCCCAATGTGGGACTTCCCCGCGCGAATCCGGATTAGTCGGGCCCCAATGTGGTTACCGGATACCGGGTGAGAAATCAAAAAAAGAAAAAATTTCTGCCATTTAGTGATGCGTGGAGGAAATTGCGTTTGAGATTGAAATCATTTCTCAAATACAAGTTGGGTGGATAATCAGAGAAAGTCTCTTTTCCCCGTTAGAAAAGAAGTCCACGTGAAGAAAAGGAACGCACTAAAATGTTGTCTAAGTACTTCAAGTCTCGTCTAAGTCTTCGCCCCGACAAACCTTGAAGTATGGGGCATTTGTAGACATCAAAATTTTAACGATCAAGCTAAATCTTAAATTCAAGATACTATAAGACTCTTGAAATCCTAAGAGTCTATTAGGGTTGCTTGGAGGCTACTCTACCCTAAACCCTAACTCACGCCTATATAAAAGATACATATTCCCTTGAAGATACATCTCGAAATTCCATAAAAATTCATGGAATATTCACAAAGAGATTAAAAACATCAAATATTGTCTTTCTCAAAGCCACCGAAGTGATCAACGGGTGTTCTTCCTTTTCCTGAAGATCAAATACACCCTAAGGAAGTTCGCATCATCCTACGTTCGAGAAATACGCTGGTTAAGCCCTCGAATCAAGGAGAACGATCTAGAGAGAAGAATTAAGGGAACAAACAGAATTGTACCCGCATCATTTTATCAATAAAATTATGTTTCTTCATATTTATATTGTGGTTGCAATTTATTTTTGTATCACAAATAATTTGTAGCAAACAAATACATGTATACTTAAAATGATAAGCAGACAATGTACAAATAATCCTAAATTTATGCATATATAAAAAAGATAACCAAACATTGAACAAATTAATGCTGGATTCTATACTAATGTTAATCATACCTTGTACATGAAACCAAAATCAGCCAAAGGCTGTCGCATTTCGTTTCACCGGTTTTTTCTCCTAAATTTTATTTTTCAACCTCCAAAAAAAATCTCTCCTAAATATTTTATGAAATGGAAAAAATAAAGAAAATAACAACAAGGCTATTTTATTTTGCCCAATAAAGAGAGAGATTACAACGACTTTGACAGCCCCCTTCCTCCAACCGCCCGCGCACCCCGACTCCCGCGAGAAAAATAACGCTCTCTCTCTCTCACACACACACACAAGCCATTACTGAGTGAGAGAGAATAGTGTGCGCGCGCGTGACAATAAAAACCACTAAAAAAACCCTTTCATTTCTCTCTCTAAAACCCCCACTCGAACTCGATCAAAAACATTCCCACGAGGCACACAACAAACACTCTCTTCTTTCTCACTCACTCTTGTTCATACACTACATATACTTATAGCCATCCGTACATATGTACATATACGATATATTTGTATAGTTATATGTATTTATAAATTAATTTAAAGGGCAATGGAGAGGTACAGTGGGACCCAGGCAATGGAGGGTGCTCCGGTGTCGGAATGGACTTCTCCCGGCGGCGATACTGGGCTCGAAGGCGAGTATACTCTTACCTGCATTTCAATTTCGGACCAATTAGTATCAGTTCGTATAATGTGGACTGTATTTGAGTCATATATTATTTATTGGGTAATGCAGAGGCTATGTGGCAGTTGTCGGTGGGAAGTGGCCCAGAATCGTACCCTGAACGGCCCAACGAGGCCGATTGTATTTATTATTTGAGGACGGGCTTCTGTGGCTATGGCTCTCGCTGTCGGTTCAATCATCCTCCCGATTGTAATTTGGTATTTTCTCTTCTTTACTTCCAATTAATTAGGGTTTATTTCAAGGTGTTTATGCTTAATGTACCTGATCAACTTGATTTATTTTCTCACTGTCCAATTCAGCTTGATCTTCTAATATATCAGGTTTTTAAAATCTTCATTAGTGATGTCTATTTTATATCCTTGTAAGTTATAGTCTGAAAGATCTTTTCTTTTTTTGTACATTTTGTACTTTTGATCTTTAGTTTAGTCAGCAGAAAAGATTCGAAATTTTATGTATGTAAGTTAATGACAGGTTATGGGAGCTGCGAGAGCTATCGGAGGAGGAGGAGGAGAAGGAGAATACCCCGAAAGAGTGGGTCAACCAGTTTGCCAGGTAGTTTCCTTAAATGTGATACTATCGTTTTGGAATTTGGTGTTCATTTAATGATCAAATTCGAGAGTATGTGTTTTCTTGATTTGACTCTCTTAGTGCAATAACTTTGTTTACTTTTTTGTTGATCCTGTACTATTTGGACTCCCGTTTAGTTAACCAAGATTTGTGCTTTTACTTCTTATTGGATCTCTATTATGCTGAATGGTAGCTTATGTTGTCCTAGCATCTAGTAACTTATCCTATTTGTGCTCCCATTTCGTTAATCAAGATCTGTGCTTTTCCTACTTGTTGGATCTCTAGTAGGAGTATGCTAATAGGCAGCTTATGTTGTCCTAGCATCTAATAACTTATCCTATTTGTGCTCCCATTTCGTTATCCAAGATCTGTGTTTTTCCTACTTGTTGGATCTCTAGTAGGAGTATGCTAATAGGCAGCTTATGTTGTCCTAGCATCTAGTAACTTATCCTATTTGTGCTCCCAGTTCGTTAACCAAGATTTGTGCTTTTCCTACTTATTGGATCTCTAGTAGGAGTATGCTAATAGGCAGCTTATGTTGTCCTAGCATCTAGTAACTTATCCACAGAAAAAAAAAGTTGTCCTAGAATCTACTATGCTATTTATGATGTTGATCATGCTGATAAGTGCTTATGTTCTTGTTCCTTTTGGTCTTTGGAAATATACTGTTGAATTGGGATACTGATAACTATTTTAGTTAAATAACCGGATTTAGTTTCTGCTTTCTACCATTGGGTGCTAGTTTCGAGCTTCTGTTGGAGGAAATGCTTCAGAGACTCTCTATCTCACCATGATTCATCTGTTCACTTGGCTGTCTAGAATGTTATCTGTTGGAGAAATTTTGTTGTTGTACTTTTAGGATTAAATAATCAAAGGAAAATGAAAATGGTTTTTTCTGCTACAATATTCCCTCACTTATCTTCGTATTATTTGATCCATCAAGTGTACCTATTCTATTCCAAACTATGACTCACATTACAAGGTTGTTTGAATATTTGATCTGCTGCTAATTCACCTAAGTGATTGTTGAATATGGAATCTGTTGGTCAGCAAAGCTAGTTGGTTTTTTTTCCTTTTCTGAAAACTTTTCAAAACCCTTGTATATAAGACTCTTATTGTTCACTGTTATAATGCTAGTTTTTGCTGATTATGATTTACAGTACTATATGAGGACGGGGATGTGTAAATTTGGTACTTCCTGCAAATATCACCATCCAAGACAGGGAGGTGTATCTCCAGCCCTGATGACACATAACATTTATGGATACCCGCTGCGACCGGTCTGCCTTCTTTTCATGTTCATTTAGTTCCTTCGGTTTCCTTGTTTTGTTATCTTCCGTTCCTTTGTGTTTTCGTTCTTTTTCCTTGTCTCCTTTGAAAAGTTTGACCATTGATGTATCTTTCTGATTGGCTCTTTGAGTTCCTGGCACAGGGTGAAAAGGAATGCTTGTTCTATATGAAAACAGGGCAGTGTAAATTTGGCATCACCTGTAAATTTCACCATCCTCAGCCAGCTGGTGTGCAAGTGCCAGCATCAGCAGCTAGACCTGGAGCATTTCCTTTGCCAGCGGCTGTTCTCCCACCAGCCACTTATCCAGCAGTGCAATCTCCTTCTGTTCAATCAGCTCAACAATATGGAGTGGTTGCTAGCAACTGGCCGGTTGTGAGGCCTACTCTGCTTCCAGGTTCCTATCTTCCTGGCACATACGGTCCTTTGCTTTTCCCCCCTGGGATGGTTCCTGTGCCAGGTTGGACTCCTTATCCGGTAGGTATATTATGAGTGTTTTTTGCAGCTGTTGATGTAGACCTTTCCTGAAAGGCACTGTTTATTTCCTGAGTATAAATTATATGGTGCAGGCATCTGCTAGTCAAGTGCCCTCGCTAACTACTCAGCCTGCTGCTGGAGCAGGTCCAGTTTATGGGCTTACACAACTATCTGCATCAGCACCTGCCTACATGGGACCGTACACGTCTCTTACTGCTTCTATAGGTCCTTCAGGCAGCATCCAGAAGGAACATGCTTTCCCAGAAAGGCCTGGGCAACCTGAATGTCAGTATTACATGAAGTATGGGGATTGCAAATTTGGATCTTCATGTAGATACCATCATCCACCTGAGTGGAGTGGACCAAAATCAGGTTTTATCCTCAGTGCCATGGGTCTTCCTCTTCGTCCTGTAAGCAACTTGGCTTTCAATCTTTAGATTGAGATTCTTCATTGCAAGTTTATGCTTCATTCTTTTGGTCTTGCTTGCAAGTTAATTAGATTATAACAGGTCATCTACCAACATTTCCTCAGCCTTTCTAAGTGCAAATTTGCAATTTCCTTTTCTATTGGAAAAAATATTGACAAAGAGATGATAGCTAAATTCTGCTCCTCCTCTTTGATCTCCTGTAGGCAGTTGGGGCTTCATTTCTTGTCTTTCTTTTTTCTGTTGTTGAAATATATAGAGCATGCACGTTCTGGCAGTTGATGAAGAAAGAGTGCTCTGTCGATCTCTCCTAGCAATTTATTGTGTTATATATAACACTTTTCTTGATTCATGTTTCCTGAGTAATGCTGATTTTCCAATTAGCACCTGTTTCATTTGAATTTTTAAACTGGTGTTGTCCCCCCCCCCCCCCACCCCCCACCCACCACCACCACACACACACACCAAAAAAAATAACCTAGACTAAGGGTAATACTAAATATTTAGAGAAGCTAAATCTATTCGAGATTTGGCTATTGTACATGATGTAGATGCAATTTTTGATACATACGGGTTCTGCACAATCTGTAATTACGCCTTGTCGCACTGGCTTAGTGTAAGTACTTATAAACTTTGTGATTACTTGTTAAAAATAATGTATTCGAGAAGCTATGAAACAACAGCAAAAACAGCTATGCCTCAATTGCAAGCTAGTTAGGCAACTATGTGAATCCTCACCATCCATTTTGCTTCAGTTGGACCATTTCACTCCAATATTTAATAATTTAGGGTTCTGTTACACCAAGTAAAAAGACTTCCAGCAAATATTGGACCTAATGTAAGCATACCAAACATCTTAAGCATTAATTCCAACAGGTTGCTATTGCCTGTATCGATCTTCTGCTCACATTGTATTCTATTTTTTCGCGAAGTATGTATGGATTCGAGAGATTACAGGTCTTTTGAGACAATTTCTCCCTTGAGATCTTAGGTCTAGCTGGTCCGTTACACTTTCAATCATCATGGCTTCACTCTAGAGGCGGGTCATTTGTAGGTCTACATAACTTTAACCAGATCATCTCTTTCTTTCATTCTATCCTCTATGTGTGTTGCTTGCACCTTCTATTCGGATCTTGTATGGATATAACCAAATCATCTCAAGCGACCTTCACTCGTCTTATTCTCTATGTGTGTTGCTTGCACGTTCTGTCGGAGATGATCATTCTGATATTGTCTAATTTATAAGATTGCACTTTCATTTTAACATCCATGGTTCTTTAATAATCATTCTTGTGGAATTGTAGCTATATGCTTAGGAAATCCAACTGAACTTAGGTGTTCAATAATACTTTGATCTTTTTAGGGTTTTCCATCTAATTTTTGTACTAAAGCATTCTCTATGATGGGAGTACTTTTGTCTCTACCGCCTTTTTCTCCATGGCAGTGGAATATTGAAAAAGGGCAGCGAACTCCATTTTTTAATTGAATAACATTAAAATCAAGTTAATATGTTGTCAGTGTTATTTAGCATGAAGTAGTGTCCTAACTTTTATGATAGTAAATTGAAGTGAAAAAAGTAATTTTTATTTTCAATACATCTTTCTTGAAATTTAAGAAACCTTTGTCAATTAGCTATTAGGAATGCTATCTTTGCAGTGGTCTGTTTCACACACAGCTTCATGGCTTTTGTCACCATTTACAGCCTCTAAGTGCCATCTCCTAGGTTGCATGGAACTTCACAGGTTTTCTTTGGCAAATTAATCTTAGGATTCTGAAGCTGAGTTGGAGTATTTTAAATGTTCTTCCAAGTCAAAGTCATCCACTTCCTAGTTAATGACACAGCTGTCTAATAACTTACACTACATTTTCAGTCAGAAACTTGTGCATCTTTTGAATGCTTAAAAATTATAGAAAACGTGGAAGAGATTTAAAATAGTCTCTGTATTATCGTGGTCTCGTGATGTTTATCTATACAATTACTTGTTCAAGTGCAGCAAAAAGTGGTTAAACTTTGTATTGTTCATAAGCAACCAGAATACAATGCAAGCTGCTAAATTTCATCCTTATTCACCAGGCGCTGTTTCTGACATCAAAGGGCTTTTCACCTCAACTGGGGCCTTGTAAATATGTGATATTATCTGAAGTTTGAGTTGTTAGTTACTATTGTACACTTAAAAATTGCTGTGACACATTTACTGGCACCTTTGCTATAAACAGTATACTTCACTGCTGATGCCTGCGGATGGTGAGAAATGATTGGTTCCTGCTCTATTCTTATGCTTATTTTTGTTCGTTGTGTTGGAAAGTCAAAATTTTAGCTTTTTCCGCATGTCAACTTGGATTATGGACTATATTTGAATGCCTTGCTTATCGGTGATTAAAGAACATATTTCTTGACTTTATGATGCCATATCATCATCCTTTTTATGTTATTCATGCATCAGTTGAGATCCGCATTGCCAAGTTGATGTTGCGTTCTGGTTCTATTTGTGTGAATTGATTCCTAGTAGTCCATTGATCTTTTGGTAAGATTCATCCAGTAGTTAATCATCAGCTATCTGGTGATCAGTTCCATGAATGACCGTGCTAATATAGTAGTTTGACTAGTTTCTAAGCTTACTGCATGAGCCAGGAATTGATTTACTTCTGTGTAGTATATCTTAAACGCTTTTGTTTCTTACCGAGGTGTATTAATTTTTTACAGAGTGAATTGTATGCTTTAATATTAACTGTGCTGTGCTCAGACTGGAAGATCATTCTTTTTGGGTTCTCTTAATTGTTCTTAGGGTGCACCAATTTGCTCTCACTATTCACAAAATGGAGTGTGCAAATTTGGACCTTCTTGCAAGTTTGACCATCCAATGGGAATAAGCTATAGTCCCTCAGCATCGTCTCTCGTTGATATGCCGGTTGCGCCTTACCCAGTCGGATCTTCTGTTGGTACTTTGGCTCCCTCCTCCTCATCCTCAGATTTGAAGCCTGAACTTGTATCTGGATCCACCAAGGATGCCTTCTCTACCCAAAAGTCTTCTATGAGCACTTCAAGCGGTTCAGTTGGTTCAATGTTCTCAAAGGGTGGTCCTATTTCTCATTCTGGTGTTCAACAGTCTATACAGAGTTCTACCTCTTCCAGTGGCAGCAGCAGTACAGGTCGCGATGGTGAGGCTCAAACATCAAGTTGAGAGAAAAGATTGAGAAATCACATTTTTCTACTGCTCAATGATCATGAACAAGGATTCCGTTTTTGGTGCTAGCCTTTCTTAGGAAGCTTTTATCTTAGTCATCTTGGTTCCTCCCATTCACATCTAGCACGCACTCTAGTTCTGTCTTTCTGTGTTCATATAATCACCACGTGGCCCACCTTTTCCATCTAGCACACACTCTAGTTCTGTCATTTTGTGTTCATAAAATCACCACATGGCTCACCTTCGCCATTTTCGCCCATTTTGAATAAGTGTATTCCATCCTTCAGAGGTCCAACAACCCTCAATGGAGGCCTGTACTAGCCTTCCGAATAACTAGTAACAAAAATCACCTTCCTTTTTAGATGTCATTTTTGGACCTTGTTGTGGTTATTTATGTGGTAGTCTTTTAGGGAACCAAAAAAAAAAATTTCTGCTGTGTCATTCTCCTTCCAATTGGACTGTCTTCACTCCTGTCCTATTTGGTCCCTTTTAAAACTGGGGACAAGCTCCCACTTGACTATAGGAATGAATACCTTGGTCTTGTTGTTTTGGTGTGGGACTTTCTTGTGAAGAAAACAGCTGATTCACAGATTCCGAGCAAGGCAAATGTATTGCTGCCTTTATGGGATCTACCTGATACTTTATGTTGTGATATGGGAAATCACCCAACCTTTTTTTCTTTTATAATAATATTTAACACCAAATACAGCAAAATTCCAAGGGAAAACCTTGACTTTGTAAGAATTCAATTTCTGTTTATATCAAATTCAGACTCATCACTGTCATTTTGATGCAATTTATCGGTTATGAGAGTGTGCTGTCAACGATTACTGTTTAGAGTGCCCTTAAAATATGAGGTTCCATTGATTACCTAAGTTACAAAGTTGGGGTTCTACAGTGCTTAAAGCTAGCAAAACCAAGGAGGAAAACAAGTCACAGCTCAATAAAATGAACTAAATGACGTCAGGTCTGAGCTCAAGAGTGTAGTAACTAGAGTCATGAGATTGAATATTTCTCCGAAAAGCTAAACCTTTCCAATCTAAGTGACCGATTGTCTTGTGAATTTATTCTGTGCACGATTGTGGCATGTCCTTTTCTGCCCAAATAAGCTGGAATCTGAGATCAGACCGTCGTCTTTTGGGGGTGGAAACTTGAGTAGTTTAGCGAAATGCTACAAATTTTAAGCATGTTATTTGGACGATATACCGTTTAACGAAATTTCTCTATTTTTCAATTTTTGGGTTAGTTGAGCTTTCGTCTCAGCAAGTGTCATATATTAGGGCAATTTCGAATTATGACCAGGAATATCAATATCGGATGGCACTAGGAGTTTTTTTAGAGTCAAAATAACAAACCCAACTTTCTTTTTAGCTTTGCATTACTGTTATTTTTGTTTCAACTAGTAGCAATCTAATATAATATGCATTTCACACATCAACTTTCTACTTCATAATCGCTAAAAAACATTCAAAACTACTATTAGCATTCTCTTTCTTAATTAGCCAAACTATGATAATAGTGACATATACAGAAAAATAGTAGTAGTACATTAATTCAAGAAAATCAATCTTCTATGTAACTCAAAAATAATGTAGGAGTAGACTGCACTACTCCACTTTCGAGTTTTGCACGTTATGATATCTACGTACCACATTACATTTCTTACGGCCAAACATAGGGGGTAAATTCTGGAAAGAATATGACGTAGAACTACAATACAGGAAGTCAAACATAGGGGGTAAGTCTCTATGAGAGAACCTAAAAACTCTCAAACAATGCTTCTTAGTTACAAGGAATATAGGTGATAAAATGAGGAACGCCATACCTTTAGCTGGAGTCAGTTAAATATTCCTGCTGCTTTTGTAATTAGTAGCAAAGAGCCTAATCAGAGAAGATGAGTGCAGAGCGGCGCATTTGCATCTATACTCGCTTTTTGGGTCACGTTTTAACTTATGCCCGCTTTGCAAAAAAAATTGCAAGTGTACCCACTTTTCGCGTGACTTCAGGCATACGGGCCTGAAGTAGCAAAGGCAATCACGCAAACTTCAACATTCTAGTAGACAGACCTGAAGTAGCAAAAATTGCTGAACCAAGTGTTGGCTGAAGTTTTAGTTTGTAATTGCTGAACTTAAGCATTGCTGTAGCTGAAGTTTTGTTCTCTATTTGCTGAAGTTTTTGTTTATATTTGCTAAACTTCAGCATGTTTTAGCTGAAGTTTTTTTCTATAATTGCTGAACTTCAGCATTCTTAGAGCTGAAGTTCTAAAACAACAATGACAAGTTGTCATTAAGATCCAGTTGCTATAATGGAATTATCAGGAAATTTGAAAAGCCGCACTCCTATAAAACAAGACCATTAATAAAAGTAACATCTTTCAATTGTTGAACGTAGGGAGAAAGCTAAAATGGGAGAAAGCTAAATACTTGACATAGCAGCACCAACAGTAGCAGCATGAACTGAAGTTTCATAGCAGCACCAACAGCAGCAGAAGAAAGAAGAAGAGGAAGAAGAGGAAGAAGAAGAAGAAGAAGAAGAAGTAGAAGAAAAAGAACAAGAAAACGAAGAGGAGGAGGAGGAAGAGGGCTGAAGTTATTTAAAAAGTGGGTACAATGTAAAACTTTTTAAAAAAATGGGTATAGGTTAAATGGGAGCGATCAAATAGGGCAACCAGTGCAATTTTTACGTGCAGAGCGAGGAGGGCCTTTAGTAGCAAAGGCCCAAAATTCCTTCTATTGGGCTTTCCTAAGGCGTTTGGACAAAAATTAAGGGGTTCACTTTTAGCCCGCGCCAGAAATTATTTACATCTGGTAATCGAAAAAATGTATAAAATTTGTATACTTTTTGTATATCACATACAAAATGTATATATACAAAAAATAATAACAAATTTTATACATTTTTTCGGCTATTATTTTTAAAGCGGCTATACAGTGTCATTTTCTCAAAAGTTAAATTATTATAGCAACAAAATTTAAACTGAAAAGAAGTATTTGAAGTTGAAGTTATAGAAGAGTATTTAAAAATTAATATTGTTCATGAATTTAACTTAGAAAAAGGTTGAGAGTTTTGAAAGTGAAAACCATTATTTCAATTTCAATACTTGCAATCTCAAATCTCTATTTCAAGTTGAAATTGGAAAACAAATCGTAAACTAACATTGATTTGCAAAGGCTGAGAGTTTTGAATCATTATTTCTGAAAAGTAGGCAAACGTGAAATTTTTAGTGATTGCAAAGACCCTTCTGGTGATTGGTTTATGATCTATTATGATCTTGTTGTGTAAATTATAGTGTGGAATTGTTTATGATATCAAAATTTAGTAATACAATGATATTAACCTCCACATAACTTATGCGAAATTTAATACAGAAAACTAAACAATGTACTAGTTACACAGCATTATCAGTATCTGCAACAAGTTCAAAATTTGTTTTATTTGAGATTGTATTTACTTTATCTCTCCCAACTCCAGTTAACACCTCTCCAACAATGTGCATTTCAGAAAAGAGTCCCACCCTCCACAATTTCTGTTTGAAAAGCCACCTTTTATCGGCCATGGTGAACTACCACAGAAGGTCTTTTCTCTTTCAAATGAGAACTTACGAATGATGGAAAATCTGGGAATACTAGCTCCATACAGTCTACCCTTCTGAAACTTGAGTGCACCGAAGGCAGATGCAGAATGCGATAGCCTTGTGGCAGTTAAGCAAAAAAGACATTGAAGACTACTCATTTTGGGGCACGATCAAAATATTGCCAATATCACTTCAGACTGAGCCCCAGGTAACAGCAACAGATGAAAGCCCTTATTAAGCTCCAAAGAGATGAACTCCAATGACACTTGGATTAAACACTGCATAAATCTAATTTTGGCATTTCAAATTTCTCCACCCTCTCATATTAATGGGAAGGATTGCTAATCACACATGTGTGATGTTTTTCTTCATGTTTTTCTTCATGTCTTGAATAAGCAAGATTCCATGCTTATCCACCAAGGACCAGCGCATAATGGGCTCTTCAACAAATCTAGCTGGCTCTTGAGGAAGAAAAACTGATGGCTTGCTCTTCCATTCGCCACAAGAATTCAGATTCCAACAACATCATTATAGCCATTGTCAGATGACTATGCTGCATCTCAACCTTTATCCATCTAAATCCATTGTTACTCTAGGATTATAGCCATTGTCAGATGACTATGCTGCATCTCAACCTTTATCCATCTAAATCCATTGTTACTCTAGGATTGTAGCCAATGTATCAATGACTGGTACTACTGAATTAGTCCAAGGACTTGTACTCCACCACAGTATCATATGTTTGCATAGACAAAGGGCTTTCGGCAAAGCACCTACAGTGAACATTATTATCTAAGTCACAGAACGCGGTACGAACAACAGCGCTTTTGAGAGAGAGAGAGAGAGAGAGAGAGAGAGAGAGAGAGAGAGCAAGTCCCCATTACAACCCCACCCTAAACAAAGAGAGAGATCGAGAGCCTAAAAAAATTCAGAATTTCTTATTAAAACGAACGAAGCCAAAAAGCAAAAAACACATTAAAACGACAGGAAAAAGAAACGACATTACCTGAAAATAGCTACAAAAGAGCAATTATATGACATAGGGAATATTTCTCAAAAGAAGTTATATTCTCTGTTTTACTATGTTATAATTGCAGCTCAGGTAGTTAGTTCTACTATGCCCCGATAAAGAGGTGTGAGCGGTTGGTTTTGGCGGGTACGAGAAGAGGCAGAGGGCAACCTAAGAAGTATTGGGGAGAGATGATCAGACAGGACATGGCGTGGCTTCAGATTTCCGAGGACGTGGCCCTTGATAGGAAGGTGTGGAGGTCGAGCATTAGGGTTCTAGGTTAGGAGGCAGTTGAGCATTTTTCTACTTTGTAGATGTGTGAGGCTAGTCTGATAGGATTGTCTTAGACTGCTAGTGGCTATTGTTGTGTTCACACTATTCTTCCGTTTTTCATTGTGTCGGGCCTTATCTTCTGGTTGTTGTTGTTGTTATTATTTCTATTGTTTTCCGTTGATAGTACTGATATATTGTCTCTCTTTTCGTTTTCTTGAGCCAAGGATCTACCGGATACAACCTCTCTACTCCCTCGGGGTAAGGGTAAGATCTGCGTACAATCTACCCTCCCCAAACCTCACTTGTGGGATTTTACTGTCGTTGTTGTTGTTGTAGTTAGTTCCACTACCAGGATAGCAGTTTCTAATTCTAAACAGATCACTAGTAAATATACCACTGCTGGTCTCGAACCTGGAAGGGCTATTTATTTAGAACTTATTTGCCTATAAAAGCAATAGAGAAAAATTGTTTGACAGATAAACCATGATGAAGTTCTACCTTTTTGTCTAAGAGACAAATTCAATGCAATGAGTTTAACACCGGTGCGTCCAACAAAATTTTCTATCTTCCAATTTCATTATATCCTAAGATGGTCAGCAATGTTCACAAATGATTGTTAAGATGGTTGACAGGAATTGACTCTCACAGCCAAACTCTGGAGCAAGAAGAAAAACAACGATTTAATGTCTGATGTTAATACATTTTCAAAAAAATGTCTATGTTAATCAGAAGTATTTTTGCCAAACAACGTCAAACCTAAGCAATTGTTAACATTACCCACAATACTGAACCAGAGCTGTGGGCGATCCTATTCTCCTTCAGTTACGAAAGCGAGGCATCTCATGGACACCGATAAGAGATTAAATTAAACAGAGAAAATACTTGGGATATTCCTTTATCTCAATGTGAGCTCTTCTGAACAAAACTTACAAAAGAGGTCCCAAGACATTTTTTTTTCTTGAGGGGGGTGGGGGGTGGGGGGGTTAGGCGATACTCCTGCCCTACATCCAAATCAATTTGCTTGGATAAGAATTTGAAGAATTAACCTAAATAGTCAACAACCCAACCGCTTAAACTAAAATAAATGGTGGATGTATAATATATTTGTAATTCATGTATAATCAGTGAAAAATCAATGTATACTCGCTAGGAAAAGTAAATAGTGAATGCAGCCGAATATTTGTGTAAATATCCCTAAGAATTTCCCCTCCCAAAATCCCAATACTGACTGCAGTGTGATCAATTCTGATACTTGGTCCTGAATGGAGAAGTATTTGTACGAGCAAAAAAGATTGATTGCTATTAGAACATAGCAATTTTTTGTTAGTTTTTGAGAAATGTCATAAAATATCGACTACGGAGTGTTCAACTTGAATACTTAGCATTGAATGGAAAAGAAAACACTTCTTTGATGAAAATTTGATTGCTATTAGAGTCATGCAATTAGTTGGTTAGTGAACACTCATTTTCATAAAGGTTTGGCTAAAGTATACAATAGCTTGGTTAAAGTAAAGAAGCATAGAAGTATAATGAAAGATACCTCAGTTCATGCCAAAACATTTCAGCATGTTCATGCAAGAAGGGTCGCAACGGCGCAAGAAAATCATCTCCGGCATACTGTTGTGTCAAATGTGTATTTTCGGAGATAAAAAGTGAGGTAACAACATGGACGATAATGGACGGATCTGGATCCCCCAGTATAGCCTGCAGCTCCCTTCTTATCCAAGGTTCTATTCTCTGTAACATCTTTTCTTTGGCACTCCTATTATCCATGCGCTATAAATTTAAACACCGAGTAAAGATCAAAATCAAATTTAGACATCTCAAGCAGAATCAATTAAGACAAAGAACTTCTAGCCATCAGGTTTATCATCAAGATAGTAGACATAATAATAGCTAAGATAGTAGACATAATAACCACAATTTCTTTAATTTATTTAGTGAAGAGCGTCAATCTATTGGGGTGAGCATTACCTGCACAAGACAATATTTGGATGAAAACCGAACAGCCTGCAATCTCTCTTCATATATACTGCAACCAAAATATATCACGCTAGGTTAAACAACTAGCCATGTATTTAGGATTTTCCACGTTAATTTAGACATAATACCTAGCACGCCAGTGAATTATTCTCCTGTTAATATCATATGAATTTGAAGCTCCAATCTGATCAAAGGATCGCCGCCTTGGGAACGGCCTCGTTCTGGAGCCAAAAGCATTCAGCTCGTCTCTCCTTCTCCTAATCGCTCTGTACAACAAAAAACTCACAAATTAATTGTACTATTTTTGGGGGATAATCCGAGCCAATTTCCGGGCACTTCAAATTAATTGTACTTTTAACACTAAAGTTAATTTTTTGGTCATGGCTGAACCTGATGGACAATTAATGATAAAAACTAACCTTTGGTCCACAAATCGATCTCTCGGCCTAGATGAGGCAAACCCTAAGTGTAATTTCTTAGTCTCGTTACGAGCTGATAATTTCTCTTTCTTAAAGGTCCCGGAGGAGAAACTGATTCTAGAGAACCATGAATCAAAATCGGCGTTGCAGAGAGGGCAATTTCGCTTCACATCGCTCCATCTGCGGATGCAGTCGATGCAGTAGGCGTGCATACATGGGATAACAACCGCTGCTTCCCGATGGTGCAACCGGTTCAGGCATATTGGACATGATTTCCCGACTACAGCATTGACAATTCGCTTAAATCTCGAGTCCATAAGTTAGAGACAATTTCGAATCGGGTCAATTGTTAAATCCAGCAGCTTTTATTTGATGAAAGGCTATATTTGGCGGTTATATCACCGGCCCGATTTCTTTTTCTAAAAAAATGCTATTCTTACAGCTTGGTCGGATGGTTGTTACCTTTTTTTTTAAATAATAATAATAATACAACGTTTACTTAAATTTTATTACAAGTATCATTTCATATAAGTCATTACATTAGTTTTTTCTCTCATATTGACATTTTTATTATTAAATAATTATATTTTATCCGTTATTTTTTTATATAGTATTTGTACTTCGTATATTATTTTTTCTTAATAATATTGCAAGTTTATTCTTCATATTGTTGGTGCATGATATTATAAAACGACGGCAAACGATACAGTATATTTAAATGTTGTATTTATCAAACAATACAATACATTATAAAACGACAGTTAACAAGCAATAAAATAAATTATACACTACTTGCACGTCATCAAAAAAAATAATTACAAATAACTACTCATAACAAGTACAATAATTTATTTGGAAATAAAATAGACTACTTGCTACAAGAAGTTAATATACAAATAGTGTTAAAAATCTTTACATTTGTCATTATATATAGTATAAGTTTAATCCTTATACATATACACACTTTAAATTTTTTCCTTTTTCATAGTAAAAAGTAATTAATTAGTATCCAAACTCTAACTAAGAGTATTATTTAAAAAATAAAAACGCAAAGCATCGCCATGATCATTGTTATTGTTTTTATTGGCCTGCGTTTGATACGTAGAACGGTAGAAGTTAGGTTTAGTAAAGCGTTTATTAAACCCACAAAGCTCCTGCGCTTTTGAGTTTTGGCTTTAAGGACCCTTGGAGATGAAGACTCATCACCTCATTTTCTCCACCCACCATTTCGCCGCCGATGAACACCGCCGGAACTGTTGGATTGCAGCCGAGATTTGAAAGCGCCGCCTCTATATCATGGCCTCTCTGCATCTCGTCCAGCTCGTAAATCGCGGTGTTAACGCCGAGGTCGGAGAAGAGAGACTTAATAGAGTGGCTCATGCAGCAACAACTCTTGCTGAATATCACCACTGGCTTTTCAGTTACCATTCTGCTTACTTTCTCCATTGGCAAATTCAATATATATATAAGCTAAAGTATAAATAGATACCAGCTCTCCTGTAAATATATACGAGTTGATTTTAGACTCCAAGTTTTAAGGTGAGGAGAAATGAAGGTCCAAGGAGACATATATATAGACTTCCTTGACGTCGGTACAAATTTGCTAAGGTTGCAGAAAGAATATAATCCTAGAAAAGGAAAAGAACTAGAAGTTCGATTTAAGAATAATGTATTAGATTTACTGCTCTTATTTTTTATTCTTCTTCTTAGGATTGTCAGTGCGTAAGTTACTAATACTATAATTTACTAGCGCAAATGCTGATAATCGATTTCAGAAATTATTTTTCTTTTTTTTCGTAATATTAAACAAATTTAAATCCAAGTGAGCATAAATGTTACTGTATGTGTTTTTGGGAAGATCGAAGCATCTATTTTTTTAAGAATAACGTCCTGATGTGTAAGACGGTCATAAACCCTTTTAGAAGTCCTAATTATACAATCCAAAAAGTAGTATGATAATCATATATTAGTAATTTAATACCCGTTGAACGTGTAATTTGGTTTTTGAGATCACATGTGAACTTTAATGTGGACTTATGGGTGCAAATGCAAGCTTGTCAAAGGTTGTATCGTTCATATAAAAAGAAAAAAAGAAGCAGTTAAACATGCATATATGCTTTGAGAATTTCCTATTTTATGTGTTCAATGCGGTCGATTCATTTCATTACAGACATATACTTCACAAGTATTCTACTCTATATGTTCTAAATAGGGGTGGCAAATGGATTGTTTCAACTATATTTGGGTAGGTCAAGATGGGTTGACTCTTTAAATGGGTCATTATCCAATCTTACTCAAAGTTCACTTAGGTTAAGATGGACTAAATATTAGGTTGCAACCCAACCCACCTAAATTGACCCAAATCTTTGCAAATTTTCAGAAACCACTATTGTTTAGTGGTTGTTAATTAACTTGTTATAGCTACCATTTACTTAATTACTTCGTATAGCTATCTTTACAGTTGTTATGGAATGTATTCGACGTATTCAAGCTACTGTATACACGAATACAATAGCAAAACTCGGCGAAAAAACAGGGCATGCCAGCTATCATCCGCTATATTCATATGTATTCGTGAGATGTATTCATGAATACAGCGTAAAAATAGGCCTCTTCAGCTGTTTAAAAACGGAAAGTGAGTCAATTAACTTGATAGACTCCTAATGTAACTCAACAAACTCAATTATAACACGCAAAATTATTAATCCAGTTAAGGAAAAGATTTCTCATACGAAAAACACCCAAAAAATAGAGCAATATTCAGAGCTTTAGTTCATCATTTTTTTCGTGGTATATACTTACAAGCTCTTCACCAATTTGTTGTATCCAACTGTATGGATATGTATTCTAGCTAGTTGTATAATGTATTCATGGTAGAATTTTATAAAATACAGCATGTATAATGTTGTATTCATAATATATGTTTCTCTAACAAAATCTAAATAATCTAAATACATCTAAAAGTCATTGTCTACGATATAAATATATTTCATTGGTTGTATTCATTGATTTTCTATTTATATTGAGAGTATTTTACTGTATTTCTTTGTATTGTTGTTTTAAATGCAGATATACAGTTAGGTTGAAAATACAAATGAATACAGTTAGAACTAACAATGTATTTTAAAATGTTATTGTATGAACTCAAATACATATAATTAAATACATCCAAATACAACAGTCAAAAATCACTGTACAAAATAAAAATCAATGCATGCCTTATAAAATACATATAGACAAATCTGAATACAAGAATAACTCTTCCGTTGGAATTGTCAACCGTCCGCAATGGGGCAAAGAAAATCAAAAAGTACTGCCTCCCCTATTCCCAGAACTAACTTTGCGATGTCGTCTTGAATTAGACTTCGAGGAAAAAAAAACGACCAAGAGAATTCACTTTTAGCTTTATAAAAGCTAGTAGGAAATTTGTTTCCATATGTACAGATTTGGAATTCTTCTACGAGGCAATAATGGTGACAAAAAGCATTTAGGTCAATCTTCAGCTAATGCTTCCTCCCATTTTGTATGCATTGTTATTGACCGGATTTCTTACATCCACATTTGTAGTTTTCAAGTTCAGTATTGAGATTCTGCACAAGATGAAGAAAATTAGTTTGATTAGTTTGAAAAGAACATACGTGAGGGTTTAATAAGGAGGTAGTTTTATATAAAGAATGAGAGAGAAAAATATTAGAGAAGTGTTTAATGGCTTAATTGTAGGAAGTAACCATAAATATATATTTTGCTATAAAAATTAAAAGATAGCTATAGAAAATAATATATTAAAAGGATTTTCATTTATAATAAATAGGGTGTAAAGCTTTGCTATAGTTGGTAAAAAAATTTTGTTTGTTTGCTTGCTGAAATTGATTGGGCCAAGGGGCCATTTCGTGTTTGCTCAATTTTGAAATTTCAGAAAAAATCGGTCTGCACTTGGTATATTGGACTCAAAGTTTATTCTGCAAACGGACAATTTATAAAGAATTAGTTCAAGTAAGTTAATACAATAAAACATTTCTCTATTGTATATTTCTTGTTGAACGTATAAGCTTATTGTAGCTGTATATGTGATAAGTGGATAGTTAGTTAGAAGTGTTAGTTAGAAATACTGTATATATATGCTTCACTCTGTACAGTGTTTTTTATATAACTGAAGAAATGAGAAGCGGTTATCTTTCTCTCTAAATTTCTTCTTCTGTTCGTTTCTTCTTCTTCTTCTTCAATCTCTCATTGCTTGATAAATTTTACATGGTATCAGAGCCATCTGCTCGCATCTAGATCCCAAATCAGTGTAAATGCTGAATTCAAGCTCAATTGCTTCAATTACACAAGCTCTGCCTCTATAGTTGAAGCTCAACAATGGCGGAAGTTGACAATGAAGCTCCTGAGAAACTAGGGCACAATCATCCTCTATTTTTAAACTCAAATGACAATTCCGGTGCAATTCTAATCTCGTTCAACTGCGAGGTCCAGAAAATTACTCGGTGTGGAGTCGGGCAATGCGAATTGCTATTTTAGGTCGAAACAAGTTAGGGTTCATCGACGGTACCTGTAGACGAGGAAAGTTTGGTCCAAATCTAGTAGATCTATGGGATACATGCAACGCCATAGTACTATCATGGATAATGAATTGTGTATCGCCCGAGTTGCTTAGTGGAATTATTTACTCCTCAAATGCGAGTGCTGTGTGGAATGATCGAAAAGAGAGGTTCGATAAAGCTGATCTCTCTCGAATTTTTCAGATTCATAAGAATATTGCCACAATTAATCAAGGTACCAGCTCGATTTCTTCTTATTTCTCAAAATTGAGACAGATGTGGGCAGAGTTTGACAGTCTAGCTCCAATTCCTGGATGTGACTGTGATAAATCGCGTGAATTCGTTGTTTTTATGGAAAGGCTGAAGCTCTTACAGTTCCTTATGGGGCTAAATGAGTCTCATGAGCAAGCTAGAAGCCAATTGCTCATGATGACACCAGCTCCTTCTGTGAACAAGGCCTACTCTATGATGATGGAGAGGGAAAGCCAGAGAGCAATTGCATATACAAGTCCTGTAGAGAATTCTGATCTCACTACTTTGGTGTTTACTAGAGGTGGTTTTCAACAAAGGCCTAAGAAGAATTTTAACCTAGTGTGTGACTACTGCAAGTACAAGGGGCATACCAGAGAGAATTGCTTCAAACTAGTTGGGTACCCTGCTGATTTTAAACATAAGAAGAAAGGAAATGCATTCCCTACAGCTAACTTTGTAGGAAACACTGGTGATTCAGGAACACTAATGCCTACTAATGGAAGTCATGATGTATTTTCAGCAGCTAATTTTGCAGGTAATAACAGTGGAGCAAACCGATGGGGAGAGGAGTCAATCGTCAGCCTCATTCAGCAACTTCACCTCACTTACGCTCCTC